TAGTAGAGACGGGGTTTCACCATGTTGACCAGGATGGTCTCTTGACCTCGTGATCCACTGGCCTCGGCCTCCCAAAGTGCTGGGATTACAGGCTTGAGCCACTGCGCCCAGCCTCTTTCTTTTTTTTGAGATGAAGTTTTGCTCTTTTTTTCCCAGGCTGGAGTGCAATGGCACAATCTTGGCTCACTGCAACCCTTGCCTCATAGGTTCAAGCAATTCTCCTGCCTCAGCCTCCTGAGTAGCTGGGACTACAGGCGTGTGCCACTATGCCCAGCTAATTTTTTTTGTATTTTTAGTAGAGACGGGGTTTCACCATTTTGGCCAGTCTGGTCTCGAACTCCTGACCTTAGGTGATCCTCCCACCTCAGCCTCCCAAAGTGCTGGCATTACAGGTGTGAGCCACCACACCTGACGTTTGTTCATATTTCATTGGCAAGGCTTTGATATTACAGTCACACCTGACTGTAAGTTACTTAGAAATGTAGCCTCGCTGGGCTGCCATGTATGCCACTATAAGTATTATTATGCAGGAATGAAGGAGGAAGGAGAGAATGAATTTTGATAGACAACTAGCAGTGTACCCTATAGAGAGGGTAGGACCTCCTTTAGAGAAATTAAAAACTGATAATTGCTGAGACCACCCATGCAATAATTAGTGAACGTGCAGATAATGAAAAAATGCATTATATATAAGTTAGTCCAAGCTACACAACTGAACTAATTAACTCCTACAAAACAGTTAATGCAGGAAAAAGAAAACTTAAATTCCAGTCAGCATTATTATTGAAAAATGAAAGATGGTGTGAAAAAGATGTATCCATAGAACAAGAATTTTGGGTTGAAAAAATGCCAAAAAGCAGAATGGACTCTACTAGAAATCATGCATATTAATTAGAAGAAAATTTTGAGGAAATCTCCAAGTTTACAAAAGGGAGAAATTGTGTAAATGATGAGAGAAACAATAGAAAACAATGGATCCAGAACAAATATCTAGGAGAAAATACAGTAATGATTTTAAAAATAATAGAAAATTCTGATTGTGAAAGTGTGGTTGGGTAGATAACTCGACTCCTGCTGAATCACATCTAGATCCCAGTATTATGACAATAATTTTTTTTTTTTTTGAGATGGAGTTTCACTCATGTTACCCAGGCTGGAGTGCAATGGCGCGATCTCGGCTCACCACAACCTCCGCCTCCTGGGTTCAGGCAATTCTCCTGCCTCAACCTCCTGAGTAGCTGGGATTACAGGCACATGCCACCATGCCCAGCTAATTTTTTGTATTTTTAGTAGAGACGGGGTTTCACCATGTTGACCAGGATGGTCTCAATCTCTTGACCTCGTGATCCACCCGCCTCGGCCTCCCAAAGTGCTGGGATTACAGGCTTGAGCCACCGCGCCCGGCAACAATAATTTTTAAAATATTTTATTTTTAAAAAAATTTGCTGCCTGCTTTGTCTGACAAACATTTTTTAATGCATTATTGGGTTGCTAAAAAGTAAGGGAAGTTAAACTTGTATTTCTTTTTTTTTTTTTTTGAGACGGAGTTTCACTCTTGTTGCCCAGGCTAGAGTGCAGTGACGCGATCTTGGCTCACCGTAACCTCCACCTCCTGGGTTCAAGTGATTCTCTTGCCTCAGCCTCCAGAGTAGCTGGGATTACAGTCATGCACCACCATGCCCAGCTAATTTTTGTATTATTAGTAGAGACAGTGTTTCACCATGTTGGTCAGGCTGGTCTTGAACTCCTGACCTCAGGTGATCCAGCAAGGCAAACATTTTTAAAGTTCGAGTATATCAGGGGTCACTGAGGATGTAGAGCAATAGAAAGTCTGCTTAGGCTCTGCTGGTGAGAGAACCAGCAAAGGATAAGTAGGCCATTTCTGGAAACATTTTCTCATTATTTAATAAATGTGATGATCCACACACCTATGACGCACTAAATCCACCCCTAGGGATGTGCCCTAGAAAAACTTGCCCACGTGTGCACCAGGAGACAAGAATGTCATAGCAAAAACCTGCAAGCAACTGAATGTCTGTTGACAATGGTTGTTTCACATAATAAAATATCACACACCAGGACAAATGGATGAACTAAAGTTACAGGCAATCCACAGACATTAATTTCACAAATAATGTTGGGTGGGAAAAGCAGATTGCAGAAGAAAATGTACGTATACTCTTTATGTAAAGCTAAAAAATCAGCACAGAGCTGAGCCCAGTGGCTCATGCCTGTAGTCCCA